ACTAAAAAAAAAGACAATAAAAAAGCAATAAAACTGATGATACTCTTTCATTTCAAGTTGACGTCAAGAAAGAGTCCAAAAGAGATAAGTAGCGATCTAGTAAAGCTTAAAATTAAGTTAGCGTTAGATGAGTGGGCGTTCTTCTGAGCGCGTTTTAATCTAAATTCCTTCAAAATTGCTCCACACTCAGCCTCCGGGTCTTTGCCCCACGTCTTTGAAGAGAGTATCCATCGTAAATTGTAAATCAGTAGGCTACAATAGATACCTTAAGGTACATTAAGAAATTTATTTAATGAGAGAATTAAATCGGTGGATTAGCATATCAAAGAAGAATATTTTAATTTGCCCCATCAGATTTTTAATATATTATTTTTAATTTTTCGATTATTAATACATAGGTAGAGTTTGTAGTAGGTAGAGGGCGTCATCTCTTCGCCAACCAAATCCTACCTTGGCGGCCGGCGGTGTTATCCGGACATATTGCTAGTGGACTTTTTCGTCTTTGTTAATTATAATTTACGTGTATTCTAAAGCCGTTGTTTACGACGTTCCGGCCCAGATAAAGTAATTAAAGACTTGGCTACGGATCGGGAAGGACGATGCAACCGCCGCCGCCGCGAAAACAAAACTCTTTATTGCCTTAAACACAACTTAGCTATATCTGTGTGTTTACGAGGGCCTCGGCCACGCTCTCGGGATCACACCGTGGAAATGTTTACAAATGACCGTATTTTATGGAATCGTTTTTAAGCGGCAGATTTAGTGCGGATTTATTTTGCGATACGCATGGACAAATTTTTTGTATCTGTTAGTTAAATATTTATGACCACAAAAGGATGAAAAAATTTTAAACAAAAGTTTTCCATAACATAAAAATAACAAAAAATAAATTTGTAATAGAAATTTAATTAAATTTTTAAGCTATGTGTTAAAAATGACTTCATATCAATAAATTTAATCGAAATGCTTATTTCTAATAATGGTTTCTCCGTAAACTTTTTCACACCTAATAATGATAATAACGTTATCATATTGTAACATTATCGATCATATAACTTTGCAAAGCCTCTATTACATTGGGAAGAACTTTATTGACTGGCGAAATTATTAGGGAAAATATTTCAAATGATGTAGTAACTAAGAAACTGTCATAAATCAACAATTACTTCCAAGTTACTTAATTCTTTCACCCAAATACAGATGTCATAACGTTTACATGATTAGCAGGACTTCTTTATCGGCTGAAAAATTTCAGTAAAAACGATAGACATAACAGAAGCAATAGACATGAATACTAATTACTCCGCGGTTATTTTGATGTTTCAAAACCGAACTAGATCGTGATATTCATTCGCTCCTGCCATTATAAACCGGTACGGTTTAGCGATTCACCACGAACATCCAAGTGGATGGCTTAAAAAAATAGTAATCGAGTGCTGTCAAGAAAAGCCATTGAAGCAAATTACCCCATCATGAGAGACCCCGTCATTGTAAAACTTCACTTGAGACGACAATGATAGCAGTAGCATGATCCAGGTAAAACCAACCTTAACAGCAAATGCTAACAGTTCAACCCAACCCAACCCAACCTTAACAGCAAATACTAACAGTTTAAAATGATGAAATAGGAAAATTGAAAGATGAATCAACTACAGTTAACTCAATAAGTTCATAGTTTACATGTTCATAAGGTCGATCGCGAAGCCGTTTTGAGTGGATCGCCAACAAAATTATGAATCTGAAATATCTACATCTAGGCCTCAGAGCTAAAAAAAAAGGAAGGTTAGTTTTAAAATGTAAAAAAAAGATGTTAAACCCTTCGGTCGATCTTGGCAAGACATTTATATAAAAAGTCGATCTTGATCAAAAATTAGTAGACACCCCTCGTTTAGAGGAATCTGACTACTCGCTGTGTAGTACAACACAAAGAGAGCAGTTTTACAAATCCCAGCAGAAGCATTTACCAGCCATATTGAAAACATCGTCAGACCGCATGATGGAGCAACTGATTATTCGCCCAGCTTCACCACAGACGATGAGTACGACTATATACATCGTCTTATTATCACCAAGTCAAAGTGACGGTAAGCGAAATTATGAAAATACTCCTGGATATGATCTTATCCTAGGCAAATTATTCAAATAATTCTCTCAAAAAAACATTTTGAGGCTGACGTACCACTGCACCGCCGCAATTAGATTCATTTGCGTGCCAGATAGCTGGAAAGTAGCAGAACCTATCAATCATGCTGCCTATACTGGGTAAACCACCTAATGATCTAAAGATTCTAAAGCTTCTGATAAGGTTTGGCACCAAAGATTACTAAATAAAATGCTACCAGCTCAATATATTCCATTCTTGGAATCCTACATAACTGGACGGTTTTTTAAGGTGCGACAAGAGGAGGAATATTCATACTATATCAGTGTTCCACAGGGTACTATCTTTGTACTGAATGCAAAAAAAAAAAATGATGCAATGACGAGTTAGGGTCGTTATTCATTTTCGACTCGTCAAAAGCAGTCTTCAGCGGACGCTATGAAGTATAGAATTATAATTTCCAAATAAAATGTACTCTTCTTCAATTTCCACATCACTTTTCAGTTGAGCGAGATTAAATAGTGTTTTTCGGACGCATCAAGCTCCGTTTTATTTGTATGTCGAGGGGTTAATACCATGAAGCCATGATAATTTATGACATACCAAGTATTATTGCAAATACTACGACGTCGCTTACACAAAGTAATATTCAGACAGGATTTTGTAAATCAGGAATATATCCGTTCAATCGAAATTTATTTACCGAACTGGACTTGACAAACAAACCAAATCTAGAAGCAAAACAAGTAGAAATAACCTGTGATCAAACAGCCTTCTTAGTTTACCATCAACAGTAGAGTCCAATAGCACAAATACACAACTTTCCAGTTCGATTAATTCATCAGAGGAACCACATTCACAAATATTAACTGTTTCTCCAGAATATCACATTCCTATTATTCCTGAAACATTAATTAGTAAAGAAATTACTACCAGACTATTAATTCCTTCATTGTCGTCACCACCTAAAGCCCTTATAGATAAAATCCGCTTAGAAGCTGCATCCATGCCATCACCTAGCGTTCCAGTTATATTTTTACCAGCAGACGTACAACTATTTCTGAAAGCACAAATACGACACGAATACGAAAATAAATTGAAAAGATCGAAAGCTAAAGTAGTAAAGAAAAATGTAGGTAAATAAGAAATTAAAGGTAGGGGGACAAAAAGGAAAATAGCCTACATAGCACCAGAAGAATCTTTTTCTTCTTGCGGCGTTATAATTCCGGCCAGGTTTTAACCTGGTCAATGATATTCTTTCATGCTATCCTCTGACCACACAACCGTCTCCACCTGCTAACTACCATTTTCCTCCAATCTTCCTCCACATCATCCTCTTTCTCGTCTTCCCCTTTGCCCTTCGGCTTGCTGGTCTTCAATCTACAACTCTCCTTATTGTCCTCTCATTCGGTTTGTGTTCATCGTAGAAGCTGTCTGCAACATGCTTCTCCACAGCCTCGGTCGGATCATATATATTGACAAAAGATGTTTTGTGGAGTTTCTCGTTTATTCTTATGACGCATAGTTTATTAGATATTGAATGAAATCTCAAAACTGATCCACAAATCCTTTTGGTTGTTATAAATCTAACTCCATATTCTTAGTTTTGTTCGTTTCCTGAGAAATATTCTTCTTTTCCATTTTATTTCCTGAATTGCTAGAGTATCAAATGCGTATCTCTTGAACTCTTCGGCTATGTTGATCACAGAGTCTAAATCGCAAATACAATCAAGACCGTTCGGTTTTATTCAACTTCATCTAAGAAGCAGTAGAAGGATGTTTATGCTTTATCTGCGTATTACCGTATATCGAAAGCATGCCAGGCAAAAATGACAATTCAATTTTTTCAATTGCTTAAGCATGGCGATAAAGTTCAGTTATGAAAACAAAGAATGAAATGATTAAAATTTAAAATTAATTAACTCGCTAACCTAAAATATTAAAGAAATATTTATAGTACCCGTTGACAATTAAAAACGTTTGTACCAATTGTACGAATACTATATCTACTTTTTTGTAAAAATAAACAATTCAAAACGAGGACATGTGTAACGACTATATCAATTGCGTGTCTCTTGAACTCTTTTAAACTTTGTGATCAACGTTGATCATAGAGTCTAAATCGCAAATACAATCAAGACTGTTCGGTTTCATTCTTTGAGCTATCCAGGGACCCTTTGGTGTAATTACCTTATCTTAGCCAAAGCGTTCCGGATTTTTAGGCGCCTTTCGCAAACTTCATCTCAGAAGCAGTAGAAGGATGTTTATGCTTTATCTGGGTATATCGAAAGCAAGCCATGCGAAAATTGATACATTGCTCAGCTTGTAAATTTGTGGTGTAAGGACCTTTGCCACAATTGTAAATCCGAATAATTCTCAGTTTTAGTTTGGCATAAGTTATAATCTTTGTTTTTTAAACAATAGCTAAATGTAACGGTTTATTTATTTATATTTATTAATTTTAGTTTTATTTTGTTGTTTCGTTGCAGTTTTAATTGAATAAAAGTTTATAAACATTATTTGTATGTGTTACAGCTGACCTCATGTACTGTATGTCTTACTAACGACCTTGGCATAGGGACTTTTGTAACAATGGCACACTTTTATTTTATATTGTTTTTTTTTTGAAAAGTAATTCGAAGAGAATATAATATGTAGTGTACATTAAAACCAAATAGTTGTCCTTTCAGTTAAAATATTGTTCTTATCAATCGGTTATTTAACTCTATAGGTCTCCAAACCTAAGTAGTTGCAACTGTACCAACTGAATCCTACCCTAACATAAGACATTAACATAAAATATTAATTTGTTTTCATTAATGCTTTAATTTTAAATAAGTTTGTTGGTATCAAATATATCCAAACATCTAAACACACAACATATTCAAACGCATTTTAATAAATATTAATTAGGTTTATTTAAAGGTAAGTATACTTTAACTTATAAATATCAATAAAGCGTTTACAAAGAAGTAATAAATAACATCTCATATTAAATATTGATTAATTAACATATTTCTTTTTAATGTACTCCGACATCTTCCTCCAATTTTAATAGTTCCTTCTGCACACCTCACCCTAATATCTACAATATATTCGCCGGTTCCTTTTGGTTTAGACTGATTTCTTAACACACATTTTCCTCTGATTTTAGCAAATCCTTCCAAACAAGGTTCTGAACTTCGAACATCACTCACCATTAATTCCACAAATATAATTAAATAAATAAATCTGGTACACATGTTCTTCTGTAAACAATATTAATTGAAATGTTATAACGTTGAAAAAGCATAGATGTAAACAGACCAATTCGCGTACACACTCACATACATCGATCTAAGGTCAATTCAACGATTTTACAATCACTGTTTAATTTAATACTATGATTACAAATAAATTGAAAATGAAGTGGGGATTCGGTGATAAATTGCGTCGTCTTAAGTGTGGATATCAAAGTAGTAAATACCACATCCGCATGAAAAGATACACTTACAAACAAAAATACGACAAAAAAACGCGTTACACAAAACGATAAAGAATCGTTGTTATAAGTGAAGGTGGATCTAATTTATGATTTGAATGTAAATGTATTCTATGTAAACGGGCTCCCAGTCGCCTTTACTATCTTTAGAAATAGGAATTCTTTTAAAACCAGAAGAGAGACCAGAAAAGGTGTGCTATTCACACCCCGCTTGCCCGAAGAGATATCCGGAAATTTATTCCGACTCTTTATCACCGCGCTACTATACAGATGTTAATTTAAGTTAGGTGTTAAGTAAAGCATCTAATTGCTGATGTGATATTTAAATCACACCCGAAAGTTATCTTAAGTGCTACGGTATAAAGTTTCTACTACGCGAGAAAACTCTAAGATCTTTATGGAGATTTGTTTTAAAATGTATTTGAAAACGTTATCGTAAAGTGTATGAGTAATTTTATAGTGCTCTTTTAATTTATATTAATGCATATTTAAAAGCGATTAAGTTAACACTGTTTTGCGACGATGATTAAATTTTATTATGAAACATAATACAATTTTATTTTTCCCATATTTTTTTACATATTCCATTAATCTTTATATAACCGTTATTACAACCAACACTTATAGCGTTATGTTGTATTTTTTCACCAGCTATACCAGTTAAACTTGTGTTTAAAATTGGCTGGAATTGAACTTGTTCGTAAGATCTTGAGACGTCAAACATCACAAATAAGAATGAATAAGTAAATATCGTATAAAACATGATTATTTTTAACACCTAAAACTCACACCAATTATTTCTTTAATAAAACTACGATATTAAAACTTACCATTTTTTTAAATATTGTTAAATACCAGCTGTAAACAGGTTGAAGTTTAGTCGAACTCTAAATTTTAAGTTCTATTGTTCTTTATAAATAGGTTAATTTTGTTTAAAAATATTTCTGCGATTGACTGAGAATGAACCATTCAATTTTTTCTATTGCTTAAGCATGGCGATAAAGTTCAATTATGAAAACAAAGAATGAAATGATTAAAATTTAAAATTAATTAACTCACTAACATAAAATATTAAAGAAATATTTATAATAACCGTTGTATCAATTGTACGAATACTATTTCTATTTTTTCGTAATAATTCGACAACGAAATTATGATTCATTTTGACGGCCCCTAAATCCACTTTAACAACACTTTTACAATTATGTCTATGTGTATTTCGGAATTAACTATGTTAACCAAAGGAAGTATTTGATTGTTAAAGCAAAATCGTAGCCCTAAGTAGGATAAAGCCCTACACAACTTACCGGCGGGCGACCTCAATGGATTACCTCCGTAATTAAAACATTGTGTCAGCAGAAGAGGTCATGGTGCCAAAGAGCAAAAATAGGATCAATAGAACTGGCATCCTACAAGAAATATTGCAAAATTTTGAAAAACGTTATAAAGGCGGCGAAACAACAACATAATCCACAAATTATACAAAATCCGAATAATAGAATAAAGGCTGTACGGAATATAATTGGATTGAAGAAAATTGATGATAATAATGTAGATGAAAATATAAAGAATAATAACAAAACGCGGAGGAAAACCGACACAAATGCAAAATAAACAATTCAAAACGAGGACATGTCCAACGACTATATATTTGCATCCCACGACTCAGACCGAAATTTTCAACATAATAATATCTTTGAATAACACGCAGGCGGAAGGACCAAATGACACACCGCTAAAGTTATTAAAAGGTGTGACAGATACATAGTCTTGGCAAGTTTCCTAAACAATCGAAGAAAGCGATAGTCATTCCGATCCCTAAAATGGGAAGTAACTAGCTATTTGACAACTGTATACTAAAACACTAATATCCAATATCTCCAAAGTATTTGAAAAGTTTATATCCAGGAGGAGTCAAAACTTCTACTTGAAGGGAAGAAATACTAAACATGGAATCTACCAAATGATAACAGAAGGAATAAAAGAAGTAAACGAAGAAGGCATGTTGTATTTGGAACTATCGAAAGCATTTGGTTCTCCTGAAATGGAATATATGGAATATTGGTATAAGGGGAACAGCAAAATGTCTAATTCAGTCTTATTTGACTGATAGAGCACAATGCGCGAAAATGAGAGATATATATGTTTGGACCTGTGTTTCTGATTATAGGCATACCAAAAGAGAGGTACCACAGGAATAAGTGTTGGGGCCCATACTCTTTGTTATATATATAAATTCCTTGCCTGATACGATGGATCTACCAGTTCTATTATATGTACTTGATACCTCAGTAATACTCTGGAAATAATAACCTTGCTTTCATACAAATAATTTTAAATTAAATATCAATGACACCGATTAGATAGAATGACAGTGAGGTATGGAAGTGAGGAGCTGGTAACTGCCCATACTGTCAAATTTCTTGGTGTTGTGATTGATGAAAATCTTTAATGGAAGCAATACATTGCATACCTAGCATCTAAGGTAACTACTCTCTAAGGTAACTACTTAGACTTCTTTGCTTGCCTATTATGGAACAGTCTACTCATTACTTAGATATGACGTGATCTTTTGGGGCTTCTCTTCAGCGGTAAATAACTTTTTTACTACCTAACTTACTAACTACCTAACTTATTATCTACATTTGCTATATGTGTAAGACGATATTCACAGCAGTATACAGAAATCGGCTAGAATTTATCATCTTCCTGCTTTTTCCTGACGAAATGAGATGACACTCAAAAGGTAGTTATCAAAATCTTACTAAAATAGAAAGTGAGTTCTTTCAAAAAAGTATAATTATCGAAGATTAAGCAATTTAGATGGTTTTTTTTTCACCAATAATACTTCAAAATATTGATACTACTGACGATGAAATCGTGTTACATGAGAGTGCAGTAAATTTAACACAATGTGATAGCATTTGGAAACAAAAGAGGAAATCTATGAATCCTGAAACATACTGTGCTCGAGTCATGTAATGTGTTGATAATACCTATGAAGCTAAATCTATAAACAAAATCTCAGTATGGAGTGTTGAAATATTAACGAATAATTTTGTGATATAAAATGGGTTGAATGGTTTGTGTTAAATAATAAAGTTAAATAACCATTCAACTCATTATTATTGGATATCAAACGAAGATCTACTAACTCTAATGTGTGTTAGGTAGTTTGTTGGTAAAATGTTTTTCCTAACTACGATAGAATATTAGAAATCAACTGACCATGTTATCCATGATGTTTTATTTAAAACTCCAAATAAGGGATTAGCAACATCAAGCTAACAAAAGAGGTAATGAGTCACTATACAATAAACTGTATTGTGATACCGAATTCAATGAATATATGGAATCGATTCCACATATCATTGTCGATGAAAGCATGCCCCTAACATAAGATACTTGCAATCTGATATAACTATAATTGCTATGCCCATATTAATAGGAGAAGATTACTTTTACTTTTAGCAAAAAATGCTTTTTTTTTGCTTTTAATGAAATTTTTAATACAACACTTTATCATGTTTCTTGCGTAGATTCTTCGCACAAAACACAAAACTATAAACTATTAGCTTTTTATCGGATTTCTGTTTTGGTGACCTTTCCATTAATTTTTGGTAAACCGTAATTGGTACAACCGTCTGTAGCCATTGCTACACCATACCATGATAATGGGCCGTTTGGGTGTGGATTAGTAGATAAATCTTAATGTCTTTGTTTCATGTTCGGTGACGTGTCTTTATCTCTATCATTATCATAGAGATTTCAGAAAGTTGCAACACATCAGATTTTATAAACTGGTCATCTGTAAAAGTATACCTATTCTCAAACCAAATTCTAGAAGCACTCTTTTCAATTCCCACAGTGGCCGCTTTGCCATATTTCATTTGGTAGTTTCGACATTTGTGTTTGATATATTTTATACCATCTATGACGAAGTAACGTTTCTGAGTGTGAGTATAACGAGACAAATCAACATCAAAGCCGGAATCCGACAGGGTGTTAGCCTCAGTCCACAACACTTTAACATGATAATGGACACTGTAAACAAGGGCCTAGGTGGAGTGAATGACGGATATACATACATATATTGGGAAGAACTGCAATAAAGATTGTGTGCTATGCAGACGACGCCATTATCATCGCAAAACTGAAGGATGGACTACAACAGATTCTAACCGCATTCAACGACGCATGGGACGAGATAAACATAATGATGGTGATGATTAGTCGTGCCTGGTAAAATGTACAAGAGATGGCAAAACATACTCAAAAACACCAATAGGAAGACCTTTAAAGCGATGGAAAGACAGCTGGCTGAGGTCCAGGAGAAGCAGAATCAGGAATGACTAAGCGTCATAACAAGTTATAAGACTTTCAATAAGAAGAAAGAGAAGAATGTGAGTGTAATAAATCAGCAGAGCACCATAAGCCATTATGTTTAACGGTTGTAAAGGTGTGTTATATGGCCTGGTAATTGAAGTAATATAATTTTTGCTTTTGTGTTGTATGACCATCAAACAGTAGGTGTACTGTTTGATACTACTACTTGTTGTAGTTGACATATTTGTGGAAATAATTCAGCCACTCAAGAAATAAATTTAAGTTTATGTATCCTCTACCTGAAACGTACAACACATGCTGATATTTGTGTTCTAATTTTGAGATCATTGTAAAAAATTTTTCTCTTAAAAAATTACATTGATGGTTTTATTGGCGCTACGTTCACCACTTGTTATCATTCCTACTTGTTTCCCTTTACGAACAATTAGTTTTTGAGGAGTCTTTTATACAGTGTTGAATGATACATTCACGTTAATTATACTGCCCGCTGTAAGTTTATGCCCATCGACAATATTTTCTAATAAATCGAAATAATGATTGG